GAACTTGCGCCACTTTGTCTATACCTTGCATTGCATGTATATAAACAATTGCTTTGACTTTTCAATGTTGCCGAAGGTTAGAGCTCGCACCTCTGTCTTGGTTATTCTCTTTTTTTCGTAAAGTGAATGGGTAATAGGTCATTGCTGGAGAATTACACTGGAAACCGCACAAACTTTTTCGGTCGACAATTAAAATGAGCAATTTTTGTTGTTCAGTTCGTGTGAATCTTGAAGCTGACTCCAAGGTCGGCTTTTCTAGAAATGTCAGTTGAACTGCCCAGATGGAACAAATTTCAGTTAAATTTGGCTTCCTGCACGCCAATTGATACTATTTTTGAATTAGCTCTGATTTGGTGAATTATGCACCAAATTTGAATCCATAAGGGATTGTTATCATGGTCTTTTACCTTGAAGAGACATTCTGGCATTTAGATCAGAACCTTCTCGGTGATAATGATAAAGGAAGACTACGAATTTTGCCAATTGCAGAGGTTTCGGAGCTATGGTGCGTAGTGCGATTGGTGAGCGACCGGCCCCATGGACTTCCCATTTCCGCTCTTATTCGGCCACCGCGGCCCGCTGGGGCGCCGTGCGCAGGGAAGACGATCTCCAAGACCACAGCTGAAGATATGGGACGAATCCGTGTCATTGCGACCAGTGTGCTGGAGGCGCTTCGCTGGCTTCACTCACACACCATGAACCACCGTGATCTAGAGGTTTGCTTCCTGGGGTACTTACATGCCGTATGACTCAAATTACTGTAGTGGCTGAGATACTCTTTGAATATGTTATGTGGCATTACCATTACTGGGCAGTGGTTTGATAATCACCCCGTTGGCACAGCTTCTCCCTCAAAACTCTCTTCCTAGTTTAAGCATAATCGTTCTTGGTACTTACTACAACTAAACTACTTAGATTTAACCGTCACAATCAGATTAAATCGCTTAAAGACGAAGTTTTTCTGAAACAAGCTTTGATAAATGTTTACAGAAGGGTTGGGGACTGCGAAGGCTGATTCATTAGGAAGCGCAGCTCAACCGGTTGTCCTTAACTCTTTCTCTTCTTTTCCCTGTCACTAGCCCGAGAAGATCTTCATGGATGGAAATGGCAACGTCCAAATTGCAGAGTACGAGTTTGACGGCCGCTTGGACGCTTGTTTGGGGGGTCTTCGTAAAAGCGATAAGTCATACTCAATCACAGTTCCTTCGCCACCGAGTAGAATCAGAAAGGTTCACAGGAAGGATGTCTACAATCTGGTAAGTGAAGAAGATGCTCTGAATCAAGATTTGGCTTGTGAGACCCTTAGTTTACTGAGTATGAGGTATCCGTCTTTTTTGTTTCATCGTCGCTTGGTAGCTTTCGCTTCGTCCTTACTCCTTTCCGACCGTTCTCTTTCAAGGGCAGTATTTGTGAAACAATAGTTTTAGCGTCTGTCCCAAAGAAATCCACAGGGCTCGAAGCCTTTCAAAAGGAATAGGCTGGTTCATAGCCATTCCAGTCGTTCTTTCAAATTGATTTAATCTACACGACGTAGGTCAAGCCGGTTTTGTTGACGTATGCAGACTTGAAAAGTTTTCTCCGGGTTAGGGATGAGGTGACCGAGTCGATACCAATGCAGCGAAGCCGGGTCAGATTATTGTTGCAGACTCTTTGCTTTGGACCACCACATCTTGCAAGCTATGAAAAGTGGCTTTCGGAGTGAATTTATCACTTTTTGCCTCCCCCCTCTAACCTGAGCGGCAGTTGTTTGACCTCGGTCGTCAGCCCCAAACACGTTGAGATGATGGCAAAGCCAGGCTGTCGTTGATGACACTTCAGGAGTGTGCGCGCAAAAACCACCTGATTGACTGCTCTGAACTGCTTTATTCTACTTTCGCAACATAGCTTTCCCCCACCATAGCCTTCCTAAGAGATACTGCGCGGCCTTCTGATGCACAAATCAGCTAGCTTTGATTGTAGTTAGTGGTCTAGACATCGCAATGTCTTTATTATTTTACCTGTAGGGGTTAATTCTGGTCTACCTGGCAACAAAGACACCGCCAGAAAGGGTGGGTGCTCACGGCGATCCCATATTCACACCCGCCCTGAATGCCGTCTTGTCCTACGCGCCGGCCTTCAAAGATTTCCTGCAACGCTGTCTTTGCAACACAGCCTCATCTTCGGCCTCAGAACTGCTCAACCATTCCTTTATAAAGGAGCCAATCAACTATGCACCGTCTTCTAATGCTCCATCTGAACCGCATACCGGTCGCAGCCTAGTCAACAGTTCTGGTGAGTCTTGGAGAGGGGGTTCCGCGTCTCTTGAATGGGCGTATGCCACATTACTTATCGACTCGCCCAGTTGTTGAAGTTCTGCGTCGGTTATCATGGGGCCAATTGAAATCTGGAAAAGACTCTTGATTGTACCAGATCGGTTGATTGGTCCGTCAAGTAAATAATGCTGCGTCCGAATTACCTCCAAAGATGTATCTGAAGGCAGCTTCATTATTAGTGTGAGGGAAGAGTAGAAGGCGACTTAAAGTAGGGCGTAGAGATCAAATTGGAAGTGAATGAAAGGATCTGACAAACTGTTTTTTTTAGACAGCAACATTCTCTCTGACACACCAAAAGGCGGACGATCACGTCTCTACTCGGACTTTGAGGACTTTTCCATTATTGGACAGGGTGCTTTTGGCTGTGTTATGCGAGTGGGTGCACTGCTCTTCCTCCTTCCTATTTGAGAAAAGAGTTGGTTCTCCTGCTTCATCTCTATTTGTAGGCACGAAATATAATCGAGAATCACGAATATGCCATCAAGTGCGTCCGCATCCCACGCTCACAGGCGGATCTTGTTCTGCGAGAAGTACGAACCCTAGCAGGTCTGCAGCATGACAACATTGTGCGCTACTACACTTCATGGAAAGACGTCTTCGCAGAGGCTTTGCCACACAATAAAATGCAGTGGGCTCGCAATGCCATTAAACCATCAGGTGAGGGTAGTATGTCTACCGTCAATGAAAGTGTCAGTGAATCATCCATCCACGAGGAAGAGGAAAGGGAGAAGGAAGGGACAGTTCCGTTCGACATCAACAACCTGGATCTATCTCTGGTGGAGCAGGATCTTCGAAAGCAGACAGCACGTGCTGTTCGCAAGTCAAGATGTAAGTTCTCGCCATTAATTAGATAAAATGACGCTCTATTTTCCTCCTTAGTCCCCGGTTCACCAGACGAGGAACCGCTGTGGGGCTTTAGCTATTTCAGCTCCTCGAGCAGTGACGATTCACCGACAGACACCATAACGGCACTGGACTCTCCCTTTGAACACAGTGGGAGAGATGAGTAGGTCCTTAGTTCCTCATTTTGCCTCACTCGCATCCCGTTTAGCTCCGACACTGGGGAGGATGAAGATGACGATGAAGAGGAAGCGGCAAGGGAAAACGCTGGGATTTCGGTGAGTGGGCATATTCCATCCAATATAAACCGAACCCTTAATTACTCTCTCTCTCTCTCTCTCTCTCTATCAGTACATTATCATTCAAATGGAGCTCTGTGCTTGCAAGAATCTGCGGACCGTGTTGGACGAGGAGGTGAATCTCAATCAGGATCGAGCGTGGAGCTACTTCCGGGAGATGACGGACGCACTGGCTTACATTCACTCTAAGGGGGTCATCCACCGAGACTTAAAACCGGCCAATATTTTACTGGATGCAGAGGACCATGTGAAGATTGGGGACTTTGGTCTGGCTGTGCGAATGTCCAAACTCGCTGACTCGGCACGGAAGGAATACTCGGCGTTTATGGTAAGGTGGTTCTGCAGGTCTTACTCCAACTTCTATGGCTGTCTTGAAGAGCTTGTAGGGGTTGTACATTATCGGCAGAGATTCAAAATAACCAACAATAGTCTTAAATATGGTTGACTGGTGTGGAATATTGGAAAGTGGAATACTTTTCCAAGTACACGGGCATTTTGCGAACTGTCGTTGTTTTGATGTTTTTTGGTTGTGGTTGAGGTTACTGTCAGGTGACTAAAAAGGTTTGTACAGCTTCTGCTATAACTAGCTGCAATGATATGCAGAAGTTTGTAGGGACTTTTAACTTGAC